AATAAACCGATCGAAAATACAAAATAACAGCATTTCGCGTATCGACATTTTTCACAGTGATTTGTATGCATTAATTGACACTTAGTCTCTGGCACGCAAATTTACTTTCGTATAGTGAGCACATAGTTGTGTGCACAATAGATGGAAATTCCGAAAATACCCTTCGATTGTGCATGAAATTCTGTATCAACAGCCCTAGTTTTCCTTTTTCATTCAAAAATTGAACCGAGATATTCGCCCTTTAATACTCTAAAACTCGAGTCTTTACCCTACTATAGGAATTTGTGTACTATAGAGTAGATGGAAAATCGGAGAACACCATTGAATTCGCCATAAAAATCAGCATCTTTTCATAGTAAATATCTCTAGTCAATTTAATAGAGAAAACTTTTTATTGCGTGTTTACCACCCAGCTGACAATAGAAATAAGCTACGGATGTAGACAAGGGATACAGGAGCACTTTAATGGATAACCATTTTACTAATTCATTATTATCATAAGATAACCACGGATGTCCCCAGTTAATAATGATTCAAGATGGCGTCGGGCAAATGTGCATTCCTCGATTTAGCCGCATGTAAAAAACCCTTACGCGAAATTAACCTGAAGTGAGATCTCTGTATGTACTTCCTCTGTGATATAGGCCTGATCGCAGATTATGGCGATCACGACTTTTGAGTGATGATATTTATAAATTTTCATTTACTTCGGGACACTTCGGCACTTCGCGCCAAATTGTAATTTACCGTGCGACATGGCATGCTGCTTCACAGCCATTAAATATACTAAAATTTCGGAAAATATTTAATACATACGAGCCGGGTCGTTGTAGGATTGCTATAGGGTCGTTGTAGGTGGTTGTAGCGTCGTTGTGGGTGGTTGTAGCGTCGTTATAGGTGGTTGTAGCATCGTTGTAGATCGTTGTAGCGTCGTTGTAGGTGGTTGTAGATTGTTGTAGCATCGTTGTAGGTGGTTGTAGGTCGTTGTAGGTGGTTGTAGGTCGTTGTAGGTGGTTGTAGGTGGTTGTAGGTCGTTGTAGGTGGTTGTAGGTCGTTCCTTACTTTAGTACCTACG